TTTTTATGGCTGGCGATTTGGTGGGTCAGAGAAAATGACAACATATACGGAAGGAAGGGCACAGTAGATTGGCAGCACCAGTTGAACAGGTCAGTTGTGAATATCGATGAACACGTGAACCTTCGAACGTCAACGTTTTGTTTACTCAGTCAAGACCACTTCCTTTTTGGAATCACAGGTATCACAGGGAGTGAGGCTTTTCAGTTTGACTGACTACTATAGCTGTAGGTGTTTGAGCTGCAACCAACCAGCACAGCCGGAACACTCTATGAAAACGAGAGAGCATTAGCCGAGGCCAAGCTCAAACGGCACTTGGGCTTACCCTTTCAAGACAAAGGCATCGATTCGTTGGCCTTGAACCTGTCAGTGGCGGTTCAAGCAAAGGACTATGCCAACAGGGTGCCGGGGAATCGCTTGGGCACGTTCTACATGCTGGCACAGGAGCAGGGAGACAAAAGTTGTGTTGAATCTGTGTAGTCAAAGTAAAATAGAAGAGACAACGCTTGGTGTTCACACTCGACACTCACTCATTCTTGACTGGACACCTTAAAGATCAATGAAGCTGTTTTCAGGATGAATATAGTATGTGTTCAAAAGTCAAACCAATCAAGAAGAATCAACCATGTTCCATACATATCGTTTTTTTGCATCTATCACTTCTCTTAACAAAAACAAAGATAAAGAAATCAGAAACAGCTAGGAAGACAGAGTCCCCCATCCCTGAGGCCAAGTTCTCTCCTTTGCAGCCCTATGTGCAGCACTTGATCGTCGCCACGAACCGGAGCACCCGCCTCCCCGAGCATTGGCTCCGCTGGACCGGCGCCGAGCAGCGAACCTACACCGCGGAGGAGATCGATGCCTGGCGAGCGGCGGCGGCGGCGCAGAAGCGAGAGCATGGGAGAGCGGAAAGCCAGGTGGATGCGGGGGTAAAAAGGAGGGTGCAGAAGGCAATTAAAGGGACAATAGAAGAACTTAGATTATATGTGGAGAACTTTGGAGCATACATACTCATGTTTTTTATTGGCAAAATCCACAGGTTTGGGTATAGATGTTTTGTTTCAACTTGGAATTGGATGGTGCTGATTTGGTATCCACCCAGTAGACAGGTGTCAAACAAGATGGAGCGCTGGCCACATCAGAAAGACTGCTTGGAGCAATGCCGAGCTTTTATTGCGAACCAATCGGAGATGGCAAAGAAGGACTTCTTTGTGCAGATGGCCACTGGCACGGGGAAGAGCCTGGTCATGGCGGATCTTTTGGCTAACTTAGGTCCTGCAGGAAAGGCTTGCGTGATTGTCCCAAAGTTGGATTTGATGGAACAGATGACAGTCATGTTGGAAGATGTTCTGCCATCGATGTGCATTTCTCGGGTTGGTACGGGATGGAGGGCCAACTTAACAGCCGATGTGTTTGTTTGTGTGCGAAACTCAGCATGGCAACTTGAGAACTTCTCCTTTGATCTCCTGCTGCTTGATGAGGCTCATCATTACGAACCAAGTTTGCATTCTGATTCCACCAATCTTTGTGGGCCTCACTTAAGACAGGTCTTGTCGCTGAAAGCAGACAAGCGTCTCTTCTTCTCGGCTACCCTCCTCCAGAACTTTCCAGACTTCGACTTCAGCCTCAGGCCTGCCATTGAAGCTGGCGTCATCCAGGATTATTCCATTGTGGTCCCCGTGATCTCTGAAGGGGATCCACGTCCCAGCCTGGTAGAGATTATTCAGGACCTTCCTTTGTCAAGGAAGATTCTGGCGTTTTGCAACACAGTCTACGAAGCGAAGCGGTTCACCAAGCTACTCATTGCTGCTGGCATTCCAGCAGACCACTACAATGCAGAAACCAAACAGTCACGCAGGCAAGCCATTTTGAGTAGCTTTGCATTGAGTGAAGGAGGTGGAGGTATTCGTGTCCTGGTCACCGTGGATGTTCTCAGCGAGGGCGTTGACTTACCATGGGCAGACACTTGCTTATTTGTCGCCCCGAGGCGTGGTATCAGGTTTAGACAGTGCATTGGGCGGGTGCTTCGAAGGGAGTCAAGAAAGCTTGATGCCCTTGTCATCGCGCCACCCATTGTCGTCAATCTTGCAAGTGGTAATTTGACTGAAGATCAAGAGTTGAGACGATTGCTTCAAGAGCTAGCAAGTGTTGATAACGTGTTTCGGAGATATTTGGCGGAAAAATCAACGGGGCAGACCTTGCCCTTGGCTATTCAAGCTGGTGGGCTTCCCGGGGCCACTTCGGAGGAGATGGCAGTTGAACAAGCTGCGGAATTGCTTGAGCTTCGGGTCCTACCATCCGTCTTGGCAAGGTTTCCGACAACCTGGGAAAGCTGGTATGACAGATTGCTGCATTACAAAGAGGAAAAGGGGGACATACTGGTGCCTCACGCATACAAAACCCCAGATGGCCACAGCCTCGGCTTTTGGGTCAGCAATCAGCGTGCAGCAAAAGCAAAAGGCAAATTGGCTGCGGAACGTGTTGCACTCTTGGATGAGCAAGGATTTGTTTGGAGTATTTATAATGGTCATGAATCATGGGAACGCTGGAATGATAGATTGCGAGATTACAAAGAAGAATATGGCGACGTACTAGTGCCTAAAGCATACAAAACCCCAGATGGCTACAGCCTCGGCAGTTGGGTCAGCAATCAGCGTGCAGCAAAAACAAAAGGCAAATTGTCTGCGGAACATGTTGCGCTTTTGGATGAGCAAGGCTTTGTTTGGAGTGTTATTAGTCGTGAATCGTGGGAAGGCTGGTATGATAGATTGCGGCATTAC